TTAGAAGAAACTTGAAAATCAGAAAATTGCTTTGTGAGAGCATCTAGTTGTTGTTGCTGTTTCTTATTGGACTGTAGGATCTGATCATTCTGGGCCAAGATGGCATCATAGCCATCAAGCTTCATAATCCCCGCTCTTCTCTGTGGTGCGGGAGCATTATCATACTCCTGAGAGGCTAGAGACTCTAGTAATTCCAAGGCTTCCTCTGGAGTTTTTGTCTTCAAGGACCCTCCTGATGCAGCATTCACCACTGTTCTTGTGTTCGGCGTCATCCCTTGGAAGAAGGTTTTCGCTTGCTCCCAGGCTTCAATGCCATGTTGGGGACACTTCCTGAGCAGTCCTTTGAATCTTTCCCATGCTTCGTATAGAGATTCACTTTCTTTTTGTTCAAAAGAAGTGATATCCGCCTTGAGCTTTGCCATCTTCGAAGATGAGAAAAATTTATCCAAAAATTTGGTTGCCAAGTCGTCCCAGTGAGTGATGCTTCCTTGAGGTAACGATTGCAACCATCCTCTTGCTTCGTCTTTAAGTGAACATGGGAACAACCTGAGCAAAATAGCATCCCGAGACACCCCGTTCATTTTCAAGGTATCACAATATAGCAAGAAGTTTTCCAGATGGATGTAAGGGTCTTCAGTGCTTCCTCCGGCAAATTGGTCTTTCTGAATTAATTGTAAAAGTGCCGGCTTGAGTTCAAAGTTGTTAGCATCCACGTTTGGTCTAACAATACTCGCCGTCTGTGGAACTCGAGCAGGAGTCATGTAATCTCCCAACGTTCTCGGAGGTGGTGGAGGTACATTGTTGTCTCCCATTGCTTCTTCTCTTGGTTCTGTTGAGCTTGAAGCTTCTTTCTCTTGCTGTCTTCTTTCTTTAGCAAGTTTTCTGTTTCTTTTTGCTGTTTTCTCTATCTCCGGGTCGAATTACAAGGAATCGGTGTCAACGGTACCTCGCATAAACCAGAAAAATAGATTATATAAAATAAGAAAATAAAACTGAATTTAAATAACAGAAAATTAAATAACAGAAAATAAGGTCCAATCTAAAGAATTAATAGCTACTATTAATGTTGAAATAGTGATCCCCGGCAACGGCGCCAAAAACTTGTTGCTACTCACGGCAAGTGCACCGATCGTACAAGTAATATATGATTAAGTAAGAGATCGTTCCCACGAGGATTACGGTTCAAGCACTAATTCACTATCGCAAACTTAGTTGGACAATCGAAAGTGTATTTGGAAACAGGATTTGAATTGCAAAATTAAAATATTAAATATTAAGCTAATTGCTTGCAAGAATTAAAGACAAGAAATTAAAGATGTGATTTAACTAATAAAATAAAAACGTAGCTAGGGGTTCGATTTCCTTTAATCTCCTTATTATGATTCAAAGTCCTTCTTTACGTTAACCGTCCTTAATATCAATCTAACCAATTCTTTCGCGTGTTATTAGAGCTCAATCCCTTGTTACCCTAAAACCTTTACAAACTTGAAAGAACCCTAGTTCCCCGGTTATTCCCCAAGAATGCAAGCATTAAGTTCAAGAATCTTAAGGTTACGCAAATTCTATGTCTATCCCTAGAATCATAGCGTTTACGATGAAGTTATCAGATATGGATCACACACCAACATCCCTATTGTCATGCATTTACCGATGATCATTATATAAGATTCAAGCCTATATAAAGCATTAAAAACAGATAACTTCATTCATGATAAAAAGGAAAATTAACGTACGAATTATTCAAAGCATAATAAATCGACTAAAATCCATCTAACCCTAACTACTTAAAGAACTAGCCGGACATGGCAAAATCAAGAACAAAAGAAAATAAAAAAGCTCCCCCAAACTCCATAAGTGATTGGTGGATCTTCAATATCTCCAGTGAACACTTGACGTTGATCCGTCTCCGCCGCTCACGAACATGAATCTGATGTTTCTCCGCATTCCTTCAGCCTCTGAGCACCCAAGAGTTGTTTAGCAATGTAAAAGTTATGTATTTCTGGTCCCCAATGGCCCTTTTATTGGCCAAGAGTTCGTATCCTAGTAGAAAACTCGAATGGGCCTAAGTTGGATCTGTCTGGGCGCTTAAGCCTGTTGTAGCGCGCTTAAGCGCCCTAGGACAGTGAATTCTGATTCGCGTTGCGCGCTGAAGCGCTCTGAAGGGCGCTTAAGCGCGCTCCTCGCGACAACTTTTTCTTCTTGTGGCGCGCTTAAGCCCTGAGTTGGGGGCTTAAGCGCCCAGAGGCAGTAGCTATTTGCGTTTTTAGGGAGCTTAAGCTTCTGAATGGGGGCTTAAGCTCCCACTTCTAACAACTTGATAAGATCCTCAATCTTATTGGTTTTGATCTTCTTCTATCATCTCTTGATCTTATCTTTTCTAGTTGTGATCTCTATTTATCCAATCTTCATCTTTGACTCCTTTTGTCAACAAATCCCTAAAAAATAGCAAAGATGATTCCATTAAACAAAAATTCAGATAATGTTCATGATTATTATATTAAACCTTAGTTTTTGACTTATTTAACTTGATATTTTATATTAATTTAGTCTATAAAATAAGATAAACTAAAGGTTTATCAAACACATTAATTAAATGCTAAATATTGTATAGTATAAGTATCTATTAAGTTTATATATAGAGAACAAGTGTAATTTCTCTCCTTTTTTTAGTAGGTTTTTCTCTCCTTTACCTGGCATTAAAGAGTTCTTGTTCTTGATTATTTTTCAGGATCAAATTGGTTACCTTGCTTGAGTCTCATATTTTCATGGTAACCTTATTCCATAGTCTTCACTCAGATGTATTATGTTGTGCATGCTATAACTAAGATTAAATGGATTGGGATTTTTTTTATTAAAATTTGAATTTTAGAGCTTATAATTACCCCAAAAAAATTCTGAATTTCACAAATTTTATTTTGAAGAAAAAAAATGTGATTGAGTATCTCCTTCATTTTTTGTGAATGTTTTATTTGATTTTACATTTACATATTCTAATTGTAAGAAAAAACTACTTAGAGCAAATATTTAAATTCACATAATATAACATCAACTCACAATAATGATCCACGTTAGCTTTGAGATTTGACTCAAGTAGCAATATAAGTTCAAGGATGGACACTCTGACAAAAGAGTAGAGTTCTAATTGTAACACCCCGTTCTAGAACCGGATTGTTATCATTGCGTACGACATTAAACGCAGTTACAATCACATTGGTTCAATTAGAAAACTGGATAAATTTTTCCTTTTTAAACAAGCCAGATTTAAATAACCAAGTGCGTGATCATAACTATATATACTTCGCGGAATAGTGGGACTAAACTTAATATTATATTCCCATTCTACTTGACAATACGTCGTTAAATGTCTTCGTCACTTTAATTATCAAATTAATTCTAAACTCCTTTTATGATTCCCATCTTCAACTATGTTATAGGATTCTTCATTAGCTACGTGTGGGTTCAAACCGCACTCAAATCGGAGCACCGTAGCCAAAGTTATGCATTTTCTAAGAAAAAGGTGCGAAACCTCCAGAACCCCCGCGCCCGTAGCGTGAGATCCACGCCCAGAGCGTGGGAAAAACAGAAAGTTGACGCCCCAGGCGTGGATCTGGCGCCCCAAGCGTGGATGCTACTGTCTGATCTCGTAATTTGGAGCCCCAAGCGTGAATCTGGCGCCCCAGGCGCCATCCACAGGGCTGGGTGACCCAAAACAAGGTCATTTAATCTACCTATGGTTTTCCACTCATAACTTGAGCTATACTCACTCAAATTACACCATTTTGGTCTCTATGGAAAGCTAGGAGAAATGTCTACAACTTCCATAGAGACATCAAAGTCCAATTCCATCACATTGGGTGTGAAAATTGGTCAAACGGACAGGATGTATTTGTTTTCTCAACATTTCCCAATTTAGCACTAGGTACCTAATTTAGTTTCCAGTTCAACAATCCAATACTTAATGAGCATACATATATTAAACTTAAAGTACTCATCAATTACAAATCAGTTCATTACAATTCATGGAACTTAGCTTACAAAACACTATGATCATTCCCTTGGCTCCCATCAACAAAAGAGATGACCAAAGGCATGAGCATAGGCTAAGTCCATTCCAATATACAAATCATACATCTATCAATGGTCTATGAATTACAATCCTATACATGTGAGTTACAAAACAACATGTATAATATCAAAATATAGGATCCTCATGCATATGCTAATCCAAATATGGCAACTTGCCACTGGTGGCTCCTACAGCATCCTTACCTGAAAGGGGGTCCCCACAACACGGGGTGAGATATACGAATATATCCAGTAAACCAGGGATCCTTGGAGCATCTTTCCACCCCACAGTTCCATATCAGTGTAATAGCAATAACAATAATAATGCAGTAAATACATATCTATGCAAAGTGCAATAACATCTCCAGGAGAAATCCCTCAAGCTCTCAAGCTGTCCTTAGGAAACTCAGATGCAAATAGTCCTACTGGCCAGCTAACTACCAAGTATGATTTACGCATCGTCATGCAACATACCAACATAGGGAAACACCATCCTATGCCACACCAAATGCATACACATACGTATAACAAAGCATTACACTATTTTATTGCATTTATATACACAATCACGACCTCTACCCTTTCAGGGCTTGGTGGAACAGTCAAGGGAATTACACCCAAGGTCCGAAGGCTTACCTCAATGCTTCAGTCACCCTTTGTTCACCACCAACAGGTTCCACAGTCAGTCAATTACAATACTTCACTTCTCAAACAAAACCTACACAAGGTTTAATGCAATTAACACATATTGCATCCAATAACATCTCATAGCTATCAACCAAGCTATACAATTCATACCAAACATAAGCATGAACTCACCTATCCAATGGAGCTAATCAAGCTTCATAGCTTGCTCCAATGGTTGGTCTCTCAAGGTTGGTCCAATTGCCTCAATCCTAGACAACACCAAGGCATAATCAACAACCAACCAAACCAAACCATTCATTAACAATGCAAGAACTCCAATATCTAAGTGTCATATTCTTGCCATTTTCCAAATATACTCATTTAGCTATCTAAGCTCATTTTCACCGATTAAATGACATTCTTAGCATTTTCCATAACATGCTCTAAGCTCCATTCTTTCTAGAACATAGCTAATTTAACAACATTTCATCAAAGACCCCAATTCACTATTCATTGAACCCTGACTCATGCAATTTTCCATGAAAATAAGGTTCAAGGGGTAGAATCTTACCACCAATGGTTGCACAACCAAGCAAGGAGCGTTCCTCAAGCTCCCATGGAGGTTGAAGCCCTCAAAACCCCAATTTTCACCAAAGGGCCGAATTTTTGAGAGCCAATATCTCTCTCCACAAAGCTCCCCACTAAGAACTAAGCTAGGATTATGAAAGAGGGGAAGATTTAGAGTAGTTTAGGCTTTTGAATCATCCAAAACGGTTGGGATTTGCTCTCCCTCTCTCTTCCTCCCTCCTTTCCCTTCTTCTTCTTTCTCCTTCTTTTCTCTGATGCTGGCTCGACGGGGAAATGGGGGGCTTGGGTTCTTTTTTTTGTTTTATGCCACTTAACCTTATGTTAAGTGGTTTTAAGTGGGTATCGGTTCGTCTATCTATTTAACTCCAATGATTACCAAACTTCACCCAAAAGTCTGGAATATTATTCTAGGAATATTTATAATTTTATTTTTATATTTTGGGCACTTTCGCCAGTACCCATTTATACCCCTTAATTTTCACTTAGTACACTTTTTAACTCCAAAGTGACTCAGATTCATTTCATTAAGCCTTATACTTAATTTTACTCACTAAAACATGCTTAATTATTTATTTACATGTAATTTGCTAATTAATTGGGTTAGGGCTATTATACTATTCCTAGAGCAATTTTGAGGTCAGAGTTGGATAATTCTTACGTTGCTTATTAGGGATTAGTCTTATACTTGTGTGGGTCCTTTTTCTCGCCCAAGTTGTGAGTATATCCAAGAAACCTAACTTGTCCCAAATCGGTAATTAGAGTCATGGAATTAAAAAAAAATGATTATATATACGTATAATCTCTTACAACTATTTTTTTAATTATTGGATCAAAATCAAATCAATGATTATCAAATGGTATCAAATAAGAGTCATTAATTTGATTCTGATCCAATAATATAATAAAAATAATTATAAAAAGTTGTAAATATAATTTTCCCATTGTATATATAGTTATGTTGAAATTTAATTTAAAAATTAACTCAAGTATAGGAACATAAATCATCGTTTCCCTTAAGGACATAACAATTTCATAATATACGAGAAAGGTACAAATTTTACATAATGTAATATACCTTTTCCAGCCAGAGCTCACAAATTTTAAATGAAGTAATTTGTTTCTTCTTTCTTTAGTGTGTGTTTTGATGGAACATTTGAAAATTCTATCGAATTCATTTGTAAATTTTTTTGTTTGGATAAAATAATTAGATTTATTTCCTTTGCAAAATTCTTGTTTGGAAAAGTAATTAAACTCCTTTTATTTATAAAATTCTTTGTTTAGATAATAAAATATGACAAGATTTGGTTGCTTCAAGATTGGAAGAGTCACGTGTGCTTGTAGTTTTTGATCCCAAATGTAATCTGAGGATCAAATTTGGTTCAAAGTATCAAAAGAATATATTATTTACTCCTTCGCTTGTATATATATCACTGATCAGTGAGGACCTGGGCAATCTGTAAATGCCAAAATACAAAAAACATATTCATACGCATAAATAGAAACAAAGCAGAATTCCAAACGAGTGATTTGTTTCTTTTCTCTTTAGAAGGGTCATTTTTCTCTATGGAGGCATTGGTCATTCAACCAATCAATACCTTCCAAGCCTGAACGTTGAAGCCCATATCACATTCTACTATCCTTCACCATAAGAAAGCACATTATCTGATTTGTGAAAACAGGCTCAAATAGTGAAGGACCACCTTTACCATTACTTGGATTCACAAATGGGCTTAATGGAAGTTTCAAAACTTATGGGGCATATCAAGGGGAACTAGCCCAACAACAAAAGAAGGTGGGCTTTTTAAACTTTTCTTTATGTAATTGACATTGATAATATTTTTTCTACAAATTGCCATGTACACTAAGTCTTGCATCTTTTAAAAGAGAGGTGGCAGCTGTCATGACCAGTGACTCATGATATTTGATACTTGATACTTTTCATTTCCCAACTAAAGAGGGTTAAAAAGATGATTCGGTTGAGGCCGAAAAAAGAAAGAAACACAGATCATGCATATCTTGAACTTGTTGGCTAAGAATATTAAAATGTTGAACTGAGACAAAATGGAAAAATTGTAGTGAAATTATGGTTTTCTCAACATTGATTGCGGAAAGTATTGCATGGTTGAATCGAAAACAAAATATCTAGTTTTAAATACATTATCCTGAGCTGGACCGAACTTTGATTCAAAAAATCAAATTTATGTCAAAAAATTTCAATTTGACATGACGTGAGCCTAGTACTAGTCTGACTGTTAATCTGGCTTACCGTCCGCTAGCCTGTTAATTTTTAACTTTTAAGCATAACCATGAATCAACTTCACAAAATACTCAAATTCTATTGCTAAAATCAAAATCAAAATTTCAACATCCAAACATAACCATGAATCACAACAAAACTCATCACAATATGCATTTAAGTCGCTTTCAAACTATACTTTGTAAAATGTTCAAACTAAATAACATATATGTCATCAAATCCAACAAACAAATCTATACTATGTAAATTAAAACAACTACATAAATCCAACAAACACATCATGATGCTTGTAGTAGCCAAAAACTTATCTTTATGTTTTCTCCCCTATACAATTCCAAGATTACATAAGTTGACAAACAATTTGTAAATGTAGAAAATAAAAAACAAGAACAAAGAACAGAAACAAAAAAAATAAGATTAAGAAACAAAAAAAATAAGATTAAGAAACAATTTTTTTTTAATAGATTCATATAGACAATATCACATGTTGAGATATTGGTTCCTTCTATATAAAAAATAAAGTCAAATTTCTATTAAAATTTAATTGAATATAATAAAATTATAAAATAATTTCAATTGATTAAATTTATACTTTTTGTTTTTTCTTCAAGTCATACTTATTACGTAGTTAATCTCCGCCGTATATTAACGCTTAGATGGTATTTTCAGCCAAGCTAGAACGATAGGCATCAATAGTGTTGATTCTGATGGTACTGTAGAGATTGGCACAAATCTTATACAACTCTCAAAGATAGTATTGGTAAGGAACCTAGGTCGTTCCATCACCTACTTAGCTCACATGCATTAACTGAACTATCACCATTTGGTACTACTATGAATACTATTATTTTATTTTATTCAAAATATATAATATAATATAGACCGACATGTAGGTTTATAGGCTCGGCATGTAAAAAAAAACCTATCACCTACTTTTTAAATAGTCTTCTTTAAAAGCTCAGGTCTGTTCTATTTGAATATATATAATAGATCAAACCCGACCTGATATAAGCTATGTCGTAGGCCGGTCCGATTCACTTTCATCCCTACTTCTGTATTTTTCTTTTTGTTTTCTTCTTTATTATTCTATTTCTTTTTAATTTTGTTCAATATAGATTCATTGAATATAACAACTAATACATCGTAAATAATGCCTGTCGGAAAGCAACGTAACATCACGCACAGAAAATTCATCAAAATTACCTAATTCGTGAAAATGAAATGGACGAGAAAATTCTATACCAAAAAATGGGGGAGAAAAGTATTACTCAATTATGCCTAACATGGGAACAGCAATAATGTTTTAAAGTGACATGAAGCAGCATCGTTTTCATCGAAGTGGTATGTCCTAATCCAAGTTTGAAAATTAAAGCAGATTCTACGATCTTATCGTGGAACAAACACGGTGTTCAAATCGTTAAGAAATGTGATTACTTATTTTAATTTTATATCATTTTTAAGTGAATTATGATAATTCTCCTTAACCCCTGATGCCAGGTACAATATATGCACATACCAATCTGCTGCTAAAGCAATATCTTCTACTTTTTTGTTAAATTCCAAGTTATAATTATGGCATAGATGAACACAATTATTTATTGAATATCATGATATTTGCATATTATATTTGTCTACATCACTCCAGTTTTGATGTATGACTAGTGCAATTCTGGAAAAAGACCCTTACCAGTGCGTGCATATGTTAAAAAATTAGTTCTTCAATACAAGATTTTGATGTGGAAAAATGATGTAAATATGAAATAATGTGTACTAATATTTCCCCAACGCTAAACTATGATAATTTTTAGTGCCTGCTTGGATTTTTTTTTTTAGGTTAGAAGTTACTTATAAGCATAAGGTAGGCCAAACAGGTTTTGAGAAAAGTTCTTATAATAAAAAATTCTTTTTTTTTATAATAAAGAAAAAAAGTTAAAAGCTCCAATGATGAGCTTTTTTTAAGCTCTTATTTGTTTTTCTTGAATTGTGTGCTTTTTTTATATAAAGAGCTATAAAGATAGAGAAAAATAATTTTTTTAAAATATGTGCTTTTAATAACTTTTATGCTAAAAATTTTATGTAATTATCAAACAATTTTTAATTTCTTTTTTTAAGCTTTTTTTTTTTAACTTTAACTTATAAGTAATTTATAACTTAAAAATAACAGGATCAAACAGGCTATTAGACAGATGGTCCAACCAAGTTGGCGATAGTGATGTTTAATTAAAAAAGAAACAAACTGCATAAGATTATATGTACTAATATTAGCGGAAGTTTCCTTAGTTTTTGTCTAAATATCAGAGTTAGCATTTACTTATCGTTTCCATAATTTGGACATGGAGTCGTAGCTGCTATGAGATCTGTTAGTTAGTGATGTTAATGGGGAAGACAACCGTAGCTAACGTTGCACATCACCGTGCACAGATAATAGACACAGAGCCAAAAGGGTTGTGTATATGATAAGAATGGCATGGGAAGCGCAGAACCCTTCCAAGGAATTTTTCCACTAAGCGCTAAGTGACAAATGAAAATGGATCATTTCATGTGTAATTTAACGTGATCATGTCATATGTAACTTTCTATCCTTATATTTTTTTCTCTTCTCCCTTATCATCATTAACTCTCCCATGTATGGTTATGATTGCCCCACATGACATGGTCATGTTAATTAACACATGAGAGGATCCACTCCCGTGACAAACCATTAGGGGTGTTCGCGGTCTGGATTGGATCGGTTTTGAAAGCAAAAATCATCCGATCCAACCCCTTCGGTTTGATCATATAATCATCCATTCGGTTTTGATTTTTTTTCAAATCCGATCCGATCCAATCCAATTTTTTTCGGTTTGGATTGGATCGATTTTCGGTTTTTTGAAAATCCTAAAATTTATTTCTGATTATTGTGCAAATAACATCTTTTGTATATATTGGCTTTGTAATTTTTTTTTTTGAAATACAAAAGCATTAGTAAACTATAATATAATTTTTTTAATTTTGGCAATGAGATATGAAGCTCTACAAAGATAAAATTTTGTTGATGAGATATGACTAGATTTTTGCTTGGGTTTAGTTGATGGGTTAATAGGTCTTGGTTTAGAAATTTTTAAGCTAGAATTAAGAAAATACCCAAGTAGGTAGAGGGAAATTAATATATTGGATCAGTTTTCATCAACCCATCCAAAAACCGATCCAATCCAATTAAAATTTGCGATTTTTAATCGGTTTTCGGTTTATTCGGTTATCAATTTTTCAGTTCGGTCACTGCGGTTTGAATCGGTTTAGATTGGTTGATGAACACCCCTACAAACCATGGTCTGCAGAAGTATTTTCTTTTCAAGTAAGCCGTGGGCTCTGATATCACTTGTTGGGCCTAGCAAGAAGAGCTTATGACCGGAAGAAACCACCGTCTATGGATTAAGTGGGTAACAATGTTAAGTGAGCTTAGATATCATAATAAAATCCAAAACCTTAAAGTTGTAGGTTTACGAGTCTTTTGCACTTATATGATCCTCACTTAGTTCAATTCTAATCAATACGAGACTTCTTTATAGCTCACACTTATATATTTCTAATAGTATATATGCACAATAATAGCTAAAAAGTTTAATCTTTATTTATAGAGGGGTTTATATGGCCATATCGGATAAACCTCATTTTTGAATTTTATGTGTTAGAAAATAATATAAATTATTAAAAAAATCCTACTCAACTGTTTCAATTTTTAAATTGAATTGGTGCTTATAGTGTGGGTCCAAAACAAAATTTAATTAGGATTAGAAGATTAATGACATTGGGGAATCTCATAAACCACAAGGACATCAAGTTTGACAGGAGGGCCCAAATATTTTATCGACCGTTAAACGTAGGAGATTTTTCGTAGTGATCTGGTCCCCTATCCCTCCAATAAAGCTAGTCACTTTGCCACAGTTCACAGCTATTTAATCAACTTTTCTATTTTATTCTTTTATTATTTTTTTGTTTTTAATGTGAAAACTTTAGTGGCACCTTAATCCTAATCATCTTACATCATTGGCACCACCATATCATGTGATACAGTCTGTCAATCATACCTGTTTCTGCTTTTTTGTTTGTGGAAAACTAGTTGTTCTTCTTCCTAAAGCTGAACTGGCTTTCTTTCTTTTTTCCTGGAGTTGTTGCCAACCAAATTATTCCTCTCACTAATTACTCTCTTTATTTGTTTCTCCACCTGAACTTCTGAACAACTTGGAAGGTCACTTTGTGAGCTTGTATTTCCCATCATGGCTTCTGAGACTGTTGCATCTTATCATACTTCTGCTGCTGCTACTGATGAGGTTTGTTCCTTATCCCAGTTTTAAGGCTCCTATGATCCTGAACTTCCTGTTGTATCTGTGCTTAGTTTTAAGCAGAAGCTACTTTGATCAAGCTTTCATAACTTTTCTTTATGTTTCTTTTTTGGAATTAAGCTTACATAACTTTGCTCAGTGGATAACTGACCAAATTTTGCTGATGGTTTTCTTTTGAAAAATACTAAACCTTATGAATCTATTTTTGTGAAAGCAGACAAAGTAAAAAAATTTATTGCGTTTTGTGACTTATTTATTTACTTTTATGATTGGTTATTAAGTATTTATAAGTATTTTCATACAAAAAATTTCATCATTAAATAAAATTATTCATTTATTTTTCGTTTTCTGGATAAGACTCAGTGAGTATTATAATTTCAATTGTTGTGAAAAAAGAGAGAGGACATGATGATCAATATGTATCCTGATTCAAGAAAGATATACCTGTAGTGTACTAAAGGCGGATCTAAAAAACAAGTATTATGGGGGCAAAATGAAATATTAAATAAATAATTAAATTATATTTATTCTTAACTTTATTTTCCTCAATTTAATGTATAATTTTACTAACAATTGCTCTTATATGTAAAAGTTTTTAAGCATATATATTTTCATTGAGTAGCTTATCTCACTATTATTTTATTAATATATTTTAAAATCATATGTGAAAGTTCTAGATTTTTCATGAAGTTAAACCATTGCTATTTAAAATTTTGAGATCAAAATGTTGCAAAGTTAGACAAGGTGGAACTATGCAGTATGCAATGTTTTCCAGCATTTTAACAATATTGTTAATTATGGAGAGTGTTTTCTGCAAACTTACAAATTATGATTAAATTAAAGAACAAAATAGCAGCAGACCAAATTAATACCAAAGATTCTCTTACAAATTGTGATCGCTGTCCTTCTTACTTCATTTGCTAGTTTCAACTTATACCATGTTTCATAGTTTGTTTTTTGTGCTTACGTCCATTGTTTGTTAATGCTTAATCATCTCGTCAGTGGTCACTCTTGATTTAATTGTCATTGCTTTTCCATCTTTATACTATGTAGCAATTTGTTAACAAGGAAAAGAGCGAAGATATTGCACAAAAGATCCTTTCTTTAGCCAATGAAGATGAAGAAAAACATGGCAAGCCTGAGGATGCACAAGGTCAAGGTGCACCTTCATCCAAGACAGAAGAAGGAGATGAGATAAAGGCTGAGCTTGCTGCAGTTGAGATTGAAAAGTCTGATAATTATTCTCCAGCTTTATTAGAGGCTTCTGCTGAAGATAACCTGAAACATGAAAAGGTTGAGGATACTCTCTCCAAGACTGAAGGAGATGATGACAAGGCTGAGCCTTCTGTTGTTGTAGAAAAAACTGATGATTCTGTGTCATTGGAGACAAATGTTGCAGTTGCTGACAATCTGAAGGAGGAGAAGGAACTGATTCCTGAGTCTCAGATACTTGATGCAACATCCACAGAAGCCACTGTGAAGGAAACACCACAGCAGCTAGAAATGGAACCTGTTGAAATAGAAGAAGAGAAGCAACACAAGACAGCTGACATTCCAGAAGCATCAGCTGAAACCATTATTGAAAAATCAAGCAATACAACTGAGGCTAATAATCCTCTGAAAGAAGCTGAAATTTTGGAAACAAGTGCCCAAAAGGAAGAGAAGCCTGTGGCTACAGAAGTGCAGGAAAAAACAGAAGCAGCAGAAAAAGAATACCAAGAAAAATCACAAGAGGCTGAGCAACCAAGCACAGTTGCAATTCCTGAACCCTCAGCTGAGGTGGTGAAAGATACCAACAACTACGAAGTAGAGCCTACAGAAAAAGTGAAAGAAGAACCTGCGGTTACTGAAGTTGAGGAAAACCAGAAAGAACCAGAAAAGCAGGAGCAATCAAACACATTTGCAATTCCTGAACACACCGCAGAAACCAGTGAGACCATTGAGGAAAAATCAAGAGAACCAGAATTTGAGGCACCTCTATTGAAAGAGACTAACAAGTACGAAGCAGTGCCTACAGAAACAGAGAAAACTGAAGCTGATGAAAACCAAAGTGAACCAGAGAAACAATCATTCACACAAGAGGAAGAAGAACCGCCGAAGGAGGTTATCACTGAAATGGAAGCTGAAAGTGCAGAGAAACCATGTGATACAGTTGAGGTCCACCCTCCCAAAGAATCAGATATTGAGTTGGTGAAAGAGACTGGCAACTCAGAGTCAGAAGCAGTGCATGGAAAAGAAGAGAAACCAGAAACTCTTTCTACTGAAGTGGAGGAAAAGCCAAGAGAACAATTGCAAGTAGGTGAGGAAGTTGGGGAAACTAGTAAGGACGTGGAGACTGAGCAAGATGTGATTGAAACCGTCAAGAGTGAGGGAACTTTGGATGACACAATCAAAGACCCCATACCATTCAAGGAAGAGAAAACTGACAAAGAGGAGGAAGCTAACATCACGGTAGATGCTGCACAAGTTTCATCAAATGAGGAAGCTCAAGCAGCCCCTCCAAATCTGGTGGAAACTTCTCCTGAAGTTGCAGAAAAGGTTGTTGAAGAGAATGACAAGAAAGAATCAAACTTCACCGAGGTTATTAAAGGGGTATCAAAAGAAGTGGCTGGCGTTATTAATATCCCTGAACAAGCTTCCATTGATCAGGAAGCCAAAACTGGCCTAAAAGAAGAAAGAGAGTATTCTGTTCCTGCCAGTGTTGAGGAAAAGGTTGCTGTTGCTGCAAATGATGACAAGAAGGAACCAGAAACACCTGATGCTGTTCAAGAATCCTCAAGAGAGGCAGAGGTTGAAATCAAAAAGGTTGAGGAACAGAAAGAGGCAAAGGCAGCTACAACTGAAGCTGGAACTGTTAAGGTAGAGAGTGTAAAAGATGATATACTAGATGTTGATAACAAGAAAGAAGGGAACGCTGAGACAAAGGTGGATGAAATATCTACAGCTGTAAGTGAACCTGTTAGAGAAACATTGGCATCTAAATTTGAAGAAAAAGAAGAGGAGTCTATTAAAACTGGAGTGGATAATTTGGAGAAAGAACAAATTGAGGAGCCTGTGAAAACTGAGGTTCAAGCCACCAAGGAACTTCCAAAAGAAACTCCAGCCAAGCCAGCTCAGAAGCAATCAAATAACATTCTATCAAAGGTAAAACAGTCACTAGTGAAAGCAAAGAAAGCTATCACTGGGAAATCTCCATCCTCCAAAAACCTCTCCTCGGAGCCTGAGGCCAAGGGCGATATTAAAGTCAAATGATGATGGGACATGGTGAACAAGTTTGCAGAATTTACATATTTGCTTTCTTTTTCGTTGGTGTGGTGCAAAGCATTATAGCATACATGTTGGTTTCGATACTTTTAATATTTTCTCTTGTAATTGTTTGAATGCAAAAGAGGTGTGCAGAGTGCAGTGTATATAGAAGATGAACTAGGCCGTGCGTTAGGCATTGCTGTAAAGTTTGATTTGTTTTCGTATGTTTATTCTTTTGAATATATGTATTGTGTTCTTGATTGTTTTTAGTAAATGATGGAAGCAATTTTAACTTGGTGGTGTAAAGATGATTTGCTGGTACGTTCTGCAAAAATGTCTGCATGATGGTCTAGTATTGATTGTTTATTACATAACTGTTTCAATCCTTGTGCATCCATTTTGCTTCCTAAGGGAGCTTTCGCCAATCACAACCAAATTCTCCTCCCCTACGATAAATAACTCATCTATGGCTAATCCACCCAAAAAAATGAGGAATTGAAAACTATGCACATAAGTATCGGTGTAAATGGGTTAGGACGGCCTATAGATACTTATGGGCTAGTCTATATTAGACCAGACTTGACCTATCACAACTAGTAAAATAGGACAGGACTAGACTTTTAAAAAAAAACCTATTTAAAAAATAGGGCATAGCCTTTTTGTATATGTCGGGCTTATAAGCCTACAGGTCGGCCTATATCATATCATTTATTTTAAATAAAATTATTATTTTAATAATTTTGAATAATAAAGTAATATTATTTTAGTTATTCTTTTAATTATTGAATGTTTAATAGGCTTAAACAGGCTAATAGACCTAAGACAAAACTTTTATTTTTTAAATGTAAGTCAGATCAGACTTGTAATTTGAAGCCTACTTAGGCTAATAGCTCAGGCCAGACTCTATATTTTTTTACACAATTCTAACCTATTTAAGTCAAAACTTAACCTATCTTACATACTCCTCTACATACGACGAGATAACTTACAAAGATATCAAATTTTATCCATGGTTCCCGGTTGTAACCGGACACATTTTCCAAATTTCATTCGTTTCAAAATCTTTGATACAAACCCAACGAATTACCCATAAACTGAAATTTGTAAATTTTCAATACTAACATGACCCGCTTTAGGTGTGCAAAATAACATGACACATGATCAAAAAGATAATTAACCAAAAAACGACACGACACAAATTTTAAAATAAATCAACCCCAACGTGAATTTTTGTTCATGTCGTATCAGCATAGGAACAAGGATTACCACCCACATATATATATATATATATATATATATATATATATATGAGGTAAGATTATTTGACACCATTGTTAAATTTGAAATTTGACACTTTATCTGAGAGTCATTAGATCAAAAAATATCAATGGTGTCACATGCTTACAAATCAGGGTCGTTGATATTTTTTGATCTAATGGCTCTCAGATGAGGTGTCAAATTTCAAATTTGACACTGGTGTCAAAGGATCCTACCTATATATATATATATATATATATATATATATATATATATATAGTCACTTTATATAAGATTATCTACAACTATCCAAAACCTACATCGTTTTAATTAATAAATGGTGTTTCTGTAATTTTAGGTTAATTAATGAAAGATGTTTCTGTAATTTTATTTATTTCTTTATCATATGCATTTTACTGAAACACCCTTCATTAATCAAAACAACGTAGTTTTTTGGATAGCTATAGATAACCTTACTTAAGGTGGATGTAGAAATGTTTACCCTATATATATATGAGTTTGTTTTTTATAAAGATACTTTAGATAACTTTATCTAATGATCATCGAAACGACGTTGTTTTGGGACAGAAATCATGGTGTTTTTGTAATTTTAATTTATTTCAAGATTATAATAGTCTTTATCATTCTAATTTTTCAACCTCAAAACGACGTCGTTTCGATGAACATTAGACAAAATTATCTAAAATAACATCTGGAACTTTTTTCCCTATATATATAGAGAGAGAAAAATATTTCTGCAGTTACTGCAGATAACTTATCTGCATTTACTCCCAAAAGGAAATCATTTTGGCATTAAAACATTAAAAAATTATAATTATAAAAACTATAATAATCCTTAAATAAATTAAAATTACAAAAACACTATGATTTTCGTCCCAAAACGACATCGTATTGGGCTTACTGCAAATAACTTATATGCAGTAATTGCTGAAAAAGCGAACCCATATATAATAATGAGTAAATACCCTTTTTGGTCCCTAACAAAAAACACGGTCCTCACTTTAGTCCCTTACAAAAATAAATTAGTCAGTTAGTCCCTAACAAATTCAAAGTGGACCCATTTAGTTGCAATCGTGGTCCCTCACAAATTCAAAAAAGACCCATATTAGTCCCTCAAAAGGACTAAAATGAGTCCACTTTGAATTTGTTAGAGACTAACTGACTAATTTATTTTTGTAAGGGACTAAAGTGAGAACCGTATTTTTTGTTAGGGACCCAAAAGAGTATTTACTCATATATATATATATATATATATATATGAATTTCTTGCCTATCGTGCCATGATTACGTGTATCAAAATCTACATAGTCCACAGAATAAATGGTATGGTAATAAATGAACAAAACCAACCACTCCACAAAAATAAATTTTCCAATAAATAATCCGTAAACACTAGGACAACCTGTGACATCAAACTAGAACAGTTATCCGCATCTGAGTTCTCCCCAAGAACCATATTCAAGTATATGTGGCACCGCTTGTTCTCTTATTTTGTAGGAGAGGGAGAGAGAATAGATTGCAAAGAAAAAACATTATTTCATTAACCCAAAGAATCACTATGAAAGATCAAAATCAAACATTTGAATGCATATTTTGCAAGATACATAAAATTTTTATGCCGATTGATTGAACGGGTCACTAAATGGATGTACAAATGAGCGACGTCTCCCAAGATACCAAAATCTGTGCAATTCCCGGAAAATAGGATTCCAATGGTTATTATGACGGGTCATCTGAAGTATCCTCTGTGGTAATCTGGATTGAACTTGCAAGGATGAAAAACAAGAGATTTTGGACTCACATCTCTGAAAAACCTGCATTCTTCTATTGGCCATGGTCAATGCGGAGTATCAATCATAACCTGTAGGTATAAACTCAACAGTGAGTCGTTCGTTCCATTAAGAAACACCTTTTATGCTTAAAATATCAATGTAAAAATTGAGGTTAAATATGGCGTTGTGAGCGTCCATGTGTTTAGTGACACTTATTCAGAAGATTTACCAATCACAAGGTTATCTTCTTTGCCAGGATTATCAGCTCCACTGTCATTAGCCTCAGAGGCATGACCTCTATTATGCACCAAAGCTGACTGTTCATATCCAACAGTTGCTGCTTCACACTAGCATAACAAAAAAATGGAGAACACAAACATCAAGAGTATGACTAGCACAAAATTATTGTGGAAATAAAATGTTTTGAAAATTGATGATGGGGATTGGGGACCAGATAATCACTTCTGATTTTAACTGAATACCATGCCAGGGTTCCACAATTGTTGTAATAAATCAACAAACCAAACTGTTTGTACTGAACTATGAAGCACCGACACTTCAAAAATACTGATGTGTGGTGTCCGACACTTCCCAACACTCTCCAACACTTCAACATGCGTTATAGAAATTCAAAAAAAAGTTCAAAGGTTGCGTTGCATTGAGTTTTTAGTTTCAACAATTAGATTCGTTGGATTACGATTTTCATTTTATTGAGTTTAATATAAATATTTGGGATATCTTATGTTTCTTTGCAAATATAAGTTTAGTTTCATTTTTTTGTTAAATTATTGAATATTAAGTATAATATACACAACATAAATTAAAAATATTATTTAATATCAAAACGTGTCCTAACGTGTCGAAATCTAACATTTTTTAGAATTAACGTGTCGAAGTGTCATGTCGTGTGTCGATATCGGTGCTACATAGGTGCTGAACCTACTACATATTGAGATATATTTATATAAAAATTCAAGAAATTTGTGAGTAAAACAGACCTGGTTAGGGATGTGACTTGTTGAGCCACGGCCACTAGTGTTCTGGTTAACTTGTGGGTCCAAATTTGGCATTTGATCCTTTAAGCCAGATGCTGCACCCGAATCAACAGTTTCAACAAGTCCTGCTGGTCCACATGCATGTAGTCCCAGAGCTGCTGAGTTCATAAGAGGCCCTCCTGAAAAAGGAAATACAGGAGCACGTTGCATTGGCATGTGAATCCCGAACCCTGAAGGATTTGATCTTGCCATGCCATGTAAAGCAGTGGATCCAGGCATATGTGCAACAGGTATATGACTTCCTTGCATTTGGGGCACCTGAATCATTGGGAATCTAGAAGATCCACCATTCATGTCAGGCATGCCCATCCCATAACCCATACCCAACCCCATATGCATGCCAACACCCATAGGTGAAAATTGAGCCATATGCGGTGCATGCATGTGCTGCATTCCCGCAGGTAACATCATTTGAGGCATATATAGACCAGCTCCCATTGACATCATCTGCATCAAAAGATAGGAATCAATCTCATGCTATAGGTAGGTCATTTATAATCAGAAAAATTAAAACTTGAGAAATTACTTGAACTTGGAGTTGAAGTGTTTTAAGATACTCAATTGCCTCATCCAGCATTGAAGCTTTATCCACCTTATGCATACGAAGTCAGAAAAACCAAAATAAATGAGGAATCAAAGTAAATGTACACATATACAAAGTACTTTAATAGTTCATGTGGAACTTCTGCTATTTCTGTTAGAATATATTTAATGAAAGATCATGTTTCATATTCAAGCTGAGAATTGAAACAATTGAAACCCTGCAAACAAAAGCTAAACTTCAGGCTTGACATATATTGTTGTGATTTGTAACTTTCAACAATCTGATAAAACCTCCACATTCCACAAGAACAAACTTCAATAATTATCTATTGTAAGTTTAAATCCTTAGCGATAGCCCAACATTGCATCAGTTTATAAAGTTTTTCATGGTTACGATACCTAACAAGGACGAAAATAGAAAAAAGCCAACCTTATTGCAATTTGGAATGAGTTCTTGTAATGCACGCATCTTCTCATTGATCCTGTCTCTTCGCCTCTGTATGCATAAAATCAGATAAATCGGAAACTACACAAACCCTAGCGGGAAAATGTGTTTTTTTATAATTATCACGACACAAATAGCAGATGGCCTTGCTCACCCTTTCAGATAGATTATGCACTTCAGCTGCACGGCTTCTCTTTGAACCTGAAGTACCTCGCCCAGCAGCTGCCTTTTTAACACCCATTGATTCTTCCTCCACATCCTTCAAGTAAAACGTTTTCTTGGTTATAGAGAGAATCTATAAAATAAGTATGGAAATAATTAAACATATAAAAAAAAGTGTAGATATAACACATTAACTTACTTCACTATGGCACTCAGAGTCCTCGGTGTCTCTACTTTTTCGCTTCAAATTTTGATTTGGATTGTCTGAAACTCTATCTGCATCATTGCCAGAGCAAACAGAGGAAGAGGCTAGTGCTGGCTCCATATTTTTTTCAGTGACTGTCTGTCCTTTAGCACCACTTTCATCAAGAACTTGATTGGAAGATTGATTAATCTTAATGGCACTCTCTTTGCAAGCAGATTCCAACTGTTTAGAAACTACAACATTCTGTTCAAGAGATTTTGGCTGCAAAGTCAAATCAGCCTTGGATTGCTCCACAACCTGCTGGCAGTGCATGGTTTTTTCCTTTGGACATTCACCACCTGAATCTACAAGAGTTGACTCAGGAGGATTGCTGCTAGTTGCAGCAGTACCTTTATTCTTCTTATTTCCCATACTGTCTGATCTTGCTGATGCCAAACCATTCTTCAAGCTAATGTTCTGAAGATTAGCTCTCACAATAGCTGCAGGCCTTGCAAAATGGGAGAAATTCATCATGGTGGAACCATTGCTTGGCATAATTGGATCTTGCTTCTGCACCTTTAAGCTAGAAAAATCACTTGAAGAAGATGGAATCTCAGTAATCTCACCACAAGACACATCCTGGGTTGCATTACTAGTAATATTATTTTCAGTTATATCTGATACTCTTGATCTAACAGATACAAGTGATGTTTGACATTGATGCGATGATGGCGGGTATAACTGACTGGTGCTGGCTTTAGGTCTAGCAGTCTCAACTTGTTCAGCTGAAGAACCCTTGGAAACATTACCTTGTTCTGCAGAATATTTATGAGAGTCCCTACACACCTGATTGCCATTACTTCTTTTATCAAATAGAGTAAAATTATTTGAGACATGAAGGTCATTTTCCGTGACCCCAGATAGTTCATGTAAAAAATCAGAACTATATTCATGTTGCAAAGAGGCATCCATTGTATAATCCAACCAAGGTATCACATCTTCATCTTGACTCAAATCCACTTCACGGGATGGCACTGACATTGGAATTTCATTTAGTCCAGAGTCTAAATCCCCAAACTTTCCCAGCCTTGTATTGGTACCATATCCTACATCTTTATCTCGACCCTTGGGAGTGTGAGATGGTAAGCAATAAGATGGCAAACTCCTGCAGGAGGGGCTCTTTCTAGCTCTACTGGATTGACCCTGGCTCGAAATCTGACCATTTTCCCAAACCAGCTCAAAAAAATCATTCTCAGGCCTGCACATTCAAACCAAAAGGGCAAGAGTTAAGAAAGATATAAACAAAAGAATGCAATACAAAACACATATAAAAAAAGTTACAACAGCTGAAGCTAATGAACTTACGAGGAAGATTGATCAGCTGTATGTGTGCTGTTATTAATGTCTTCACCAAGCTTCTCTCTAGCCAGCCGGTATAACTCATACAGAGGCATGATGAATCAATAGATCAACGGAACCACAGCACCAAAAACTCAGAAAGGCCTCAAACTTAGGCACTTAACCCCTTATATTTGCTTCCAACATACTCTACTATGTTAGCTAGGAAACCTTTGGAATCCAAATGAGGCTTGAAGACATGGAAGAAACCTGACGTAAGCCACACTTATGAGACATTCAATCTCTACTGATTTTAAAAGGAGAAGAAACAAGCTTACATTATATTACAGCAAAATTTTACAAAAAAAAAATCATTTATTTTTAATAGCGCAAGTCTTTATCAGAGAGAATCAAAACTATAATACAAAATTAAAGTAATAAAACAGCATCAGTTAAACAAATTCTTTAATGACTTAAACACAAACCTTGCCAAGAAAAAGTAAGGACTTTAAAATATTCGATCTTATTTTTATTCTTTATTTTTCCTAATCAGTGTTCAGGTTGCACAAACACACAAACCCAGTTGAGTTCCATCGACGATAGTGACAGTAATTCTCTGCAGAGATCAAGGGAAACCCATGTAACTCCAATAACCACAAATAATCTCTGCTAAAATGGGCACCCAAAAAGATACAAAATTTCTGGAAAACCTGAGCTCCTCGAGACCAACAAGGTTCTTCTAATCCAAATGCAACAACACTGCTAGTTGAGTGGGAGTGATCATTCCCAATTCACACATCACCGGGAAGTTATCAAAAAAGCAATCTTTCATACTTAAGAGACTGTGTCTCAGCTCGAAGAAAGAGAAAACACAAAATTTCAGAAGTGGGGGAACGCCCCCAAGTGGACGCAGAAGGCGGCGAAAGATTTGCAGAGTTGCAGAGAACCAATGCAGAAAGCACTAGCAGTGACACACACGAACAAATGGGGACAGAAACAGAGAGAAAGGAGAGAGAGAGAAAATTCAAGGGTATCTAACCATGGTTTAGTCACAAGTTGTCGTGGTTTAGTTTCTGAGACCCCTTCAGAATCCAACGTTCACTCTCCTCTTAACACAGTGAATCACACGCTTCTCTTGTCTGGGGGGTTTTTGCCTTAAATTGGGGGTTATCTTTGCCATATTGTGAGTGTGTATGTGCGTGTGTCCCTGTTCGGTGTACTTAGAAGAAGAGTATCAAGTGTCATGTTTCACTCTTTGTATATATTATCCTTGCAATATTGGGTGTGTGTGTTGTGTATGAATGCATCCATAATGCACCGCAACAAAATCATATCCGTATCATTATAACCTGTTTGGACAGTGGCCCTCTTTCATATAGATAACCTTAAATAATAATAATCAAATATCTGGTTTTCAAAATGTGGATTAAGAGATTAATAAAGTCATTGACCTTGCTCATCACTTTTGTTTAAAATTTCTTAATTGACAAAAAGAGCAATCCTCTTCCCTTCATTGTTGGAAAGACTATGGGTTAATTATAAGGTGGTGAAGGTGGGTTCTCATATTTGGCAACTAGGGGTTGCAATCATGCCAGAAGAGGAGTGGTGTCCTTTTTTCTGGTTTTCTTTATTTCGAGTCTTGGATTTGTTATAAGGTGTTTAGAATAATCATTTGAAATTTAAAGACAGGATTAAAGGCAACCGCTTTAACTAATTGCAGTTTTTCTTTTAAGAATTCAAGGGGACCTTTGTCATCAGGTAGAATCTAAGAGAATGCTAACCATATTATAGTTGGTTTTACATGCGGTCCCCTTAATTAAATGTCACTAGAATGTCCTTCATGCCCTTTTTTTAAGCATAGATAACGTCACGGTCCGAAGGTTATTGTTGCCATTTTCCAAGGATGAATTTAATTAATACTTAGATATCTAGATTAATAAACTAGACACCCTGATCATCAACTTTGAACAATTTAGATAAGAGGATAGGGACCACCTAAACAGTTTAAGAAAATGATTTGAGATTTAAATTTTTTAAAAAAAAGAATAAAAAAACCAATGAAGACTGACAAAATAGTGGGAATTAATCGAGAACTGTATTAGGGAATGGATTAGTTATGGGTCAACGAGATAATCCGCAAGGGATTGGATGTCTGCCTGTCTTCTATAAAGACAGCAAATAGTGTAGCCCCGTTTTTCTAAGCAATGATTTCAGACTATAATTTTTTTTTTAATTCTTCATATAAATTAACGAGTAAAAATTAAACTTTAGTTATTTTCTAACAGCTTAAGATTATTCTTTTGTTGTGAGTAGTTCTTTATTATTATCATCGTCGTCGTCCTAGAGCTCACACTAACAATAACTTAACGTGGTGTTTGGTTGAAATTAAAATTTATGTTCACCGAGAAAATATAATTACCAAGGATCTAAAGAAAAAATGAATTAGATCAAAAAGTTAAAAAAAAGTTATTTGGTTGGGTTAAATATTATCAGGCAAATTGATGAAAGTTTTTTTTTTTTTTTTGGTACACCTATATTTGGTTGAAGATAAAATATTGATTGGTAAATGAGATATAATTACAAATATAACCTCATAATAATATCCTAATATTAATACATGAGGGTATTATGGTCTGATTTGGATTGCCCTCAGCTTCATTTAGCTGGCTAAGTATGGAACACCACCTCCAACTTGTATTTCCTAACGGTGCTCATTGCTTGTTTTCTTCCACCAAATGTTGATTGCTATGCAAATATAATAGATGAGGAAATTGAAAGAAACGGTCTACCAAACATGGGTGTCTAACTTTCCCAATTTTATTTACATAGCCAAACTTTAAGAAACTCTGAACCAAACACCACTTAAGTGATACTTAATAATAAACGATATATACAACGGCTTGTCTATTCTTGTATTGTAAGATAAAACATATCTTATGTTAAGACATAAAGTAATAATATTCACCATTAAAAAAAAATGACAGTATAATTATCAAAATATTTATGATATAAAATAGTAATCTCCTAATGGATTACTATTTCCCTATATATAATGTAAAAAAGTTATGAAGAAAGTGAATAAAAAACAATGCCTTCGGTCCCATAACACAGTATGGAGCATGGAGTATTTGACTGTTTATCTATCGAGGGGGCAACACTCCAATATTTTTTTATCTGGGGAGCCACCATTCATCTGCAAAATGGGATTAGAGTTCTTGGTGGACCCCAACCACCCCATACATGGGGTAACGAGCAATGTCCACTTGGACCCTTCATGACCTGGCTCCATTCATGTGGACCTGCTATCTTTATATGGGACATGTATGTATACAATTTATGTCAGTGAGAGTTTATATACTGTGCAGGGAAACATCGTAGGTTCTCAACCTGACCTAACAAAGTAATTGTCATTAAGAACAACCGAAACTATTATCACTATAGACGTGGATTTCACGTGCATGGATGAAATTCACAAGACACGTTAATTTGTTGCGTTTCTTTTTAAGTTTCAATGTCAGATATATCGTAGCAAATAAAATTATTTTTTATATACATATAAAAATATAAGGTTTATATTTTTTTTTTCTTTCTTCTCTTCATGTGGCCCTATATCAATTTCACATATCTTTTTGTGTGTATAAAAGATAATTTCATCTGCCGAGAAATATCAAATCTTCTTTTTTTATATAGCCACATATATCATATGTGACTCTGTGTGTGTTCCATCGACTAGACGTACGAGAAGAGAACACGTTCTTTTGGATTCTTGGTCGTCTGCAATAGCCACTGACGCTTTTGGCTAATGCATTTTATGTGTCATTACATTGCAGGGGTCTGCAATTCGCCGCTATGTGTCTCTCTGAGGGGAAGATGGCACAGGTGATTGTGTCCTTTCAACTTGGATTTCTTGCCTTCCAAGCTAAGAGACAAATTCAGATTATTTTTGTCAAGATGCTTTGAATTTTAGCAGAAGAATATGCAAAGTTGCAAACTCATATCATGCAAAGTTTTGGAGCTATTATGCCACATTACTATTTTGGGAACAGAACTGGAATCACGGTTGCAAACAATTTGACATGGTTTGATTTTAAAAATATAGATAACAAAAATTGTATAAACTTCGGTACTGTTTAACTACAAAATCATATAAGCCTTTTACAAAAATACATTGGTCTCTATAGCTTTAACTGATGGATTGTTTTGTTAAAATTTAAATTGTAGGTTATTAAGTCAAAATTAACACAATTTTGAAAATAATAACATAAGGTTTTACAGTTTTATTAAATTTAGGAAAGATTTATATATGTTAAGTGATTTTCATTAAAAATTGTAAAAATCTGGATAAAAGTCATAAAACTACGTGACAAAAATTAGAATTTGCTTAAAAAAAAAACACCAATGAGGAACAATAAATTATGGGTTTTCTTTTTATCCTTTAACATAACACAACAAACTTTCCTACACTCACAAAATTTTGTCGGGCTTACACTTTTTAAAATAAAAAAATAAATAAAAAATTAAAGCACGCAAAATGAATCTCTATAACATTACACAATCATTTTTCCTACAACATAACTCTTATAAAACCCATAAATTATTCCTTTATTTCACTCTAGTTCAATCCGATCACTTTCTACTGGATAGTACGAACATGGAAATATTTTCGGTGCTCCAAGAGCACAGAATACTTGGTATTTTTTTTATCAAATATAATAAAAAATAATTTTTTATATTATTTTTATCTTTATATTTATTTCTACCTGTATTCTATTTTTTTTTTGGGACAAAAAATAAAGAGGCAGGTTATATTTACAAACTTTTTTGTTTACAAACTACACTAAGTACGATCGGTCATACTCTAATCATGCAGTGTGCGACCGGTCGTACTTAGTGTGATTTACAAAAAAAGTTTATAAACGGATCCTATCCCAAAAATATATAGTACTCTCGGAATACATAAAATAAGCTCGAAGTACAAACATTACGTACACATATTCTAAAATTTTATCCAAGACAGGAATAAATCTTTGCTACTACTGTTGTACCAAGATTCAGTATATCTCATCAATGAGAGCATTATTACACATCAGAGAAGAGAACAAAAATTTGACAGAAAAAAAAAGAATTTTAACTGACATGTAATATTTTTATTGGTGAAATACACTGAATCTTTGATACAATAATAATAGCAAAGATTTATTCCCAAGATAGATGCAGAAACAATCTAAAAAATCCGACGACGGTTGGAAATTATTAATCTATGACTGCCCCTAATTAAATAGCATATACCTCATATGAGTATAAACCACCATTCCGCCAAGCTATATTTCTGTGGTCCCGGAGCCTAAAGGATTTGGTGGGGGCAGAAGTGAGAGGAAGAAAAAAATCGAGGAGAGAAAAATAAAATAAAATTATTTAAGTATCAATGTTTTAGTGAAAAGATCATGATGGTCTTCAAATATATTAAAAATTTCTGATTCCACCCACTGTACGTGTAGGAAAAACATTCAGACACATTATTTTTCTAAATATAGTTAACTCCACTGTAACATTGTTTTCGTAACATTGTTTTTCCAAATATTATGATATTAATTTGATAATCAGATAATAATATCTTTTGTTTGAGACTCCTCAGTATCCTTGAACATTGAGCCCCGGCCCAACTAATTCAAATTTGGTACCACTGTTGTACCAAAAATTCAGTGCATTTCACCAATAAAAATATTACATGTCAGTTAAAATATTTTTTTTCTGTCAAATTTTTTTTCTCTCCTCTGATGTGTAAAGCTCTCATTCATGAGATGCACTGAATCTAGGTACAGCAATAGTACCAAAGATTTATTCCTTATTTAGGAAGATAAAGCTCTACTAATGCCTATTTTTCATTTTAATATCAGATGATAATAGTTGATATTAAAATAGTTTAAGATTATTATTTATTGGGTTTTATAATTCTCATTTAACATGAGAATTTGAATTTTTTTACACATCATTCGATTTCCGTGCCAACATGTGTTCTACACATAATTTTTTATAACATACAGATCCCACATACTTTTTGTCTCTACAACATGAAAATTCGATTCTCGTTGTAGAAGTATAAAACCCTTATTTATTATGGCTAAATTAATGTTACTGGATATGACGAAAGATTATTAATTGAAGATTAATCTG